GGAGGCTGAGGCAAGAGAATTGCTTAAGCCCAGGAGTTTGAGGTTGCTGTGAGCTATGATGCCATAGCACTCTACTGAGGGCAACACGGTGAGACTCTGTCTCAAAAAAAAAAAAAGAAAAAGAAAAAGAGAAAAGATTAGCTAGTATATCGTTTCCTCTGTGTCTATTATAAATTATCAGGAACTTAGTGGCTCCAAGCTACACATATTTATTCTCTTCCAGTCAGGTCATAAGTCCACAATAAGGCTTAAAAGTTTGAAATCAAGGCATCAGCAGAGCTGGTTCCTCCTAGAGACTCTGAGAAAAGAATATACTTCCTTTTCTTTTTCAGCTTCCAGACTCAGTGACGGCCTGTATTCCTTGGCTTGTGGTCTCTCTTTCCTTCAAAATGCATCACTTCAGTCTCTCCTTCTGTTAGCACATCACCTCTGGCTCCTCCTGTATCCTTCTTATAAAGACTTTTGGGATTATACCAGGCCTACCCAGATAATCCAGGGTAATTGTCCCTTCTCAAAATTCTTAACAATCTCACACTCGAATAGCTTCTTTTGCCATGTAAGATAACATTCACAGGTTCTGAGGATTAGGACTTAGATATCTTTGAGGAGCCACTATTCAGCCCACCGTAACTAGTGCTAAGCACTATTAGAATTAAAATAGAACTCTGATAGAGAGGGCCTGAAATACTACTTCTGTTTGAGTGGTCAGGGAAGGCCTCTCTGAGGCTGCATGTGGGCTGAAATCCAAATGACCAGAAAGAGTTGTGAGGCCAGTGAAGAAAACATTCTAGGTAGAGGAAACAGCTAGTGAAAAACTCTACAGCAGAAATAAGCTTGGTATGTTGGAGAAGTTCATGCTGTTTGGATTGCACAAAAAGTTACAGAAAGGTAAATGAGTTTTCAATTCACATTTGCTTTTTCAGAATAAGAAAATTTAAAGCTCCATCCTATCTCCTGGTATTTTCTGTGGAAATTTGCCTAAAACAACTGTTATTAGCAGAGATCTCTTTTGTCACAAAACATAGTTGAATTCTCGTGGACACCCCTTTGAGCACCCACTAGGCTTAGAGAATCCACCACCAGGCTACACAGTTAAGTTCAGAAGAAGACATAAACCTCCCAAAAAGAGCTCATTTTGACTGTGGCTTTCAAACTACAGTTTCATCTTACAAACTTGTTAACAAAAACCGGATTTTTGACTACAGCTGCTCTGTGATTTACCATGGGGTTATGTCCCAATAAATCCATCATAAGTTGAAAATACTGTTACGTCAAAAATGCATATAATGTACCTAACCTGTCAAACATCATAGCTTAGCCTGTCCTACCTTAAATGGGCTTAGAACACTTACCATAGCTTACAGTTCGGCAAATCATCTGGCAACACAGTGCACTGTATAGTATTGGTTGTTTAACCCCTTGCATAGCTGACTGGGAGCTGCAGTTCACCTAATGCTACCCAGTATTACAAGACAGTATCATACTGCATGTGGCTGGCCCAGGAAAAGATCAAAATTTATAATTTGAAGTATGATTACCACTAAATGCATACCATCATAAAGTCAAAACATCATGAGTTGAACCATTGTCCGTCAGGACTGTCACCATTTAAACTGAAGCAGGAGCTAAAAGAAGACATCTTGGTTGCCTGTGCGGGGGAGGCATTGTACTGATTTACAGAAAGGCCAGACGAGCTCTTCTTTAGGCTGTATTCTGGAGACCTGCTGCAGGGCTTTCTCAGCAAGGAAAGTTTGTTAAGCCAAACTACAGCTGCTCTTCTTACCTTCTCCTGAGTCATTCCTTCCTATTGATCCACTTTCCTTTACTCTGAGCATCACTGAAGTCTCAGAACAACTAAGACTGTGGACTTTCAAGTTTACATGAAACCAACAAACATTCCTGAAGAGTCTAATATACAAATTGCCTTATGAGATCATACCCACTTGTTTACTTATGGTATGACTGACTGTACCTCTCTTAGAACTTTGTGATCTTCCTTAAATTCTACCTTCTGTACAGCATTAAAGGTATAGTTCTAGCCCAGTTAATTCTGCACACCTACAGCCCCCAGCAGAGAGCCTGGCACAGAGCAGATGATCAATACTCATTTATTCTGTTGTTCAATAAAGACCTCCCAGGCATCTATGAGCCAAGCACTGAGCTGGGGACTATGTGAATGTCAGTAGAGACCAAGAGCTAACTGCTCTCAAAGACTTCTAAAGGAAGTCATAGGCAGGATATTATTCCCATAAGGGAGAGTTAAATATGACTGGATGTTTGAAGATTTGCATATACTTATGAGCCTGGTCCCATGATCAAATTCCAGCCTCAGCAATTGAATTGGGTTATCTGAGATACTTGCTGGTTTTACGGTGGTTTGTTAACCTCTGTCCTTTCTGGCTCTGAACCACACCAATGAGCTGTGGGGTGTTAGAGGTTAAGCACCTGCTCTCTTTCCAGCTCCTCGGATGACTGCCTGGCAGCAGAGGGTGAAGTGACCGCATTCATCAGAAGGCACAGAGAGAAGTTCTAAGACAAAAGGAGATCTACAAAGTTAAGGCAGAGATTTTTAAGTTTAAATAAAAACCAACAGATATAACTTTAAAAGTCTAACATAATCATAATGAGAATAATAAGGCCATGAATGCATCTCACATGTGGCAAACAAAACCCAGTTACCAAATCTTTTCAGTCAAATACTGTAAATTTGTTAAGGAAGGAGGCAGCTGCTTCTGTTGTCTGATACCTGGGGCCAGTGTGTTATTTCCCCCAATATCCAAGATCATATAACCTTTTGGTTCCCAAGCGTGATTCATTTTATAGCTTGTAAAGCCCGATAAGACTGCCCCAGAGTTCAAGTGGTTGTTTATGTTCTAAGTCCAGTGGCATCTCATATTCTTGGTCTTCCCATCTGGGCCACACAGTGCTTTCTTTGTGAGCATTTCCTGGTGAACTTTATCACGCAAGCAATTCAAAAGCTTCATATCCTAACATCCTATAAAAGATACAATTGCACTCAGAAGTTTTTAAAAATCAGGATAAGATCACCCACCTTTGTTGGCTGGAGGTCTCAGATGCTACACGGTGGTTCCCAGTGGGAAAAGGCTGTTCTGGCCCCTCAGGGTCTGGGAGACCCCAGCCCAAGGCCACGCAATCTGAAGATGCCCTGAGAAGGCAGTTCCCTTACCCCTGGGCAGGACGGAGTACGGCTGGGAGTGAGGAGACAGAACAGGAAGTCTCAGGAGCCACACTCCTGCAGACTCAGGGACGAAAGGAAGACCTTCCCAACACCTCAGTTCATCACGGTTTTCTAAATCCTAGAACAATCTTGTGATAGCACGGTTATATTGCATTGAGTCATTCTCCATGTAAATTTTTAAAATGTACTGCCATTTCAGTAACCAGACCTTGGCATTTTTTAAATTTTTTTTATATATCAGGAGCTTCCAAAATTGCGAGCGGCAGCCCCCTTCCTCCATCCATGCCCTGCGGTGCCGGTGGAGAGAAATCAATCAGGAAAATCAATGCAACTGGGGAATATGGGCCCCTCTTCTCCAGGTTCCCAAAAGGCAGAGCTTGAGGGGAGAGACTGCGGAGTGCACGGGCCTCGGAACCTCTGGGTTCACCTGCATGCGGGGCGCATGAAGGCCCTATACTACAGAGGCCTGAATGCCTCCGGTGTGGGCCCTGCCCTAGCACAACAGCAAACAGGTCTCCGCCTCTCCGAAAGCACTGTGAGCGCCGCGAGAGGGCGCGCAGTGTCCGCCCCGCCCTGTCCGCTTCAGGTGAATGACCCCGCCCACTCCTCCTGGTCCCGCGCCTGCCCCGCCCACCACGCTGCTTGGCCCCGCCTCCGTTCTGCCAATCCCAACCGATCCTCAGGAGCAGCCCCGCCCGCCCACTCTGTCCCGCCGCGCGTCTGCCCCGCCCACCCCAGCAGGCTGCTCCGCCCCGCCTTTGCCCGGCCAACCCCAGCCGCTCCCCAGGAGCCGCCCCGCCCACTCCGCCCGGTCCCTCCCCGTCCCCGCCCACCAGGCATCCTCAGGTGGGGCCACCCCGCCCACCCCTCCCGCCAGCTTCAGGTGGGGCCTCCTGGCCCGCCCTGCTAGCTTGGCGGCGTCTGTCCGCTTCTCCTCAGCGTCCCACAGACCGCCACAGCAGCGCCGCAAGTTTTGACATTTTGGCGGCGGAGGTGCGCCCGGGCGCTCTCGGGTCGGCGGCGGCAGCAGCAGCAGCCAACCTTCCAGGTCTCCTTAGCCGTGCCTCGGCGCTCCTGCCGCCTCAGTCGGGTGGCCACGAGGCCCCGCACCCCCTCCCGCGCTCCCCGGTCGGGTGGCCGCAGCCATGTCGCGGGGGCCGGAGGAGGTGAGCCGGCTCACGGAGACCACCTACCGGGTAAGGCTGGACGCGCCGGGGATGGGAGCCCCGGGGCGGCTCGCGGTCCTCGCTGCGGGACTCACCTTGGGATGAGGAGGAGACTTCGGGAGGGAAGATCCTCCCGTTCCTCCTCCTCTTGGCGCTGGAGATACCGGACCCGCCACACATTCCCCAGCCTGGGCGTGGGGGGTGGAGGGGAGAAGCAGGGTCCGTGTTGTCGGCGCGGCGGCGTCCTCCTCCCAACTTGGAGTCTGTGGCCGCGCTGGCCTTGCTGCCGGCTTAAGCTCCCGGAGACCAAAGAGACACGGTCGAGTTTCCTCTGAGCAAGTAAAGGGCTCGAGAATGTAGAGGAGAAACTCCCTGTGCTTAGGAAGGACCAGGTGAGCCGAGAGCTTCGCCGGGCCTCGCCCTGGCCCTGGAGTGCTCCGGGGTGGCAGCCGGTCTGCACTTAGCTTCAAGCCTTTGCTCAATTGCTTTAAGTTAAACTTGGCTTGTATATATCGGTTATCTTGAGGCTGTAGTGAAAGAGCACCCGAGGTTTTAATAAAATTGACCTAACCTTAAGGAATGCGTTCATGCCCAGTCTCTTAACTTTGCCTGTAATTAGCAGGGAATTTTTGCAGAAACAGACACAGATTTAGGATTAGTGGCCAGTTTAGTAAGTTTAAGTACTTATAAATGAATTCCAGTTGAAATAAGATATGTGTTTAATCATCTGCTATTAATAGAATACAAAACAACTTTTGTTAGAATTCAGCTTAGGCTCATTGAACCCCTGAAAGTTTAAAGTTCTCTAAATTCATTTGTAGCCATGTTTAAGGCCCAGAGTTTGATCGTTTTCATAATTTTTCTTTAGCCCTAAAATTTAGTTTGTGGATTTTCAAGGCCTGAGTTCCCCAAATCGGAGGAGTTTATTGATTTTTGTTGGATGAGAATAACAAGAGGGAGTGTTTTCATAATCTATGGAAAGCCAAAAGATTATCAGTTCCCTTCATCTTAATACACAAAGTGTATGCTATAACCTGTAAGTTATACTTTGTAGGAAGATACAGTTGACACAGCATTTTTGGACTCAGCAACTGTGACCAAAAGCTAATTACATTTGTGTTGAGATTGTTACCATTTAAATGAAGATGGTGGGGTAAGAGGTGTGGGGTGCTGACAAAGTATGTATATAAAACATTCTTACTACTAGACTAGTAGCTATTCTGATGACTCTCAGTTAAGGAGAAACTGTAATTGAGAAATGCAGATCATTGCCCATTTGAAGCAGAGTCTAATATCTATTGCAGTACACAAATATAGGCACACAGAAAAGTCTCTAAGTTCTTGCCTCCAAGAACATAGGTATATTTGTCTTCACAATCTGAGACGGAATAAAAACTTGAGACAACCAGTCAGAAGCTCAGAGCAAACTCTTCTCTTTGCTCTTTCTTCCACTTCTTCCTGACTTATACTTAAGTGTTGACTCGTTGCAGGGGCTGACTCAAGTGAATTATAGTGCCACAAATGCCAACTACTTGGGCATATCATATTACCCAAAGAACTGGGGCAGGAGGAAAAAAGAGTGGATTTCATCATTTTGGTTATACATATTTGTAGATGGTAAAGCAGAGTAAAACATTTTCAATTTTAAAAAGTTGCAGTACACTGAAGATCAGAGTCCAGAACCTTATTCTCCATTCCCAGATATCCGAAAGGTTGTTGATTGATTTTCATCACCATTTCCTTGTTAATTTTTTAGGATCACTTTTTCACATCAAGGTGGAAGGATAAGAATTTACAGCACCAGACAACACGCTTATATAATCTATAAAATGAAGTGAAGCTGCTTAGCCCATGCTTCACCTATGGTGGAAATGTGTAGTGAAATTTTACATCACAGGTCTGACTGGAAGCCTGAAAAGCCCTCACCATCTCCTCATTAGGTTCTTACCTCTGCCATCACCCCGCCCCACAGTGATCAAAGCTGAAAACAATTTAAGCTTAATATGGCAAAAATCTGGCAGTGTTGGTTAATCTTGTTATTTTAAAAAAATGTATCCTTTGTTACCTAGCAGTCTACAATATCTTACTAAGAGAAACATATCCAGACCAAGTGTATTTAACAAAAGCCACCTATAAATGAGATTTTATGACTTGCTAGGTTTTAGATTTTTTTTTTAAATACTCAAATTTCTCTGACTTTGAAATAAAGGAATAAATATGTTAGAGAAAAGAGGGAATTATAAAGTAGTGTGATCCTCTGTATGCAGTATCAAATATCCTTAAATGTACACTATTTACACATTTGTTGAGTTATCTAAAATATGTACTTAGACAAGTGATTACTGGAGGAGATTGTGTGTTTTACCACCTCGTGAACAAATAGCATGATAATCCCCAAAATGTCAAGTAATACTACTGTTGCTAATTAGAGTTCCGCCAAAGATCCCTCCCTCTCCCTACACTTTGATTTGTCCTCAGAAGTTTGTGATTTTGAATAGTTTTCTGGTGAGTATGTGCTTTAGTGGTAGGGGAAGAAGTGAAGTTCAAAAAAACCCTTAATTAAAAATAGCAACCATCTTCCTAGAAGAACTGTTAAAGACTTGGGAGTTGAGGAAGGATGAGTGTGGTGTCATCTGGGAATGTTCTCCCTACATGAATCTTACTAAGCAATGAGCACAGTGGGGAAATGACACAGAAGTCTTTGAGGTTACCTCAAGGAGGCCTGCTCAAACAACTCTTCAAAATTGTGGACAACTCCATTGCACAACATTACCTTAGGCTACTTTTACCTTCCCTCTCATGACACTTACTACATTAGAAAATACTATATAATATATTTATTTAAGTTTTTCTCTTTTTCCACCCTAACTAGAACGTGAACTCTACAAAGCAACAAACTTTGTTATAGTCTAAGCAGTTAGAAGAGTTTCTGGCATGTAGTAGGCATATATATAGTAGGCATTCATATTTGTTGAATGAATAGACATTTGATTAATTTATGAAGCACCTATTCTATGCTAGGTGTCTCACTCTTTCTCTTGAGACTTTTTCATAGAGCATTTTGTTAAGTACACAGCAGCCCTCAAGGTGGATGTGGATTTTGTTCACTTGTCAAAGAACTGAGGCTGAGAGTTTATAAGTGACCAGCTTCCATATCCCATTTACCATACCAGGCTCTGTATAGTCCTTTAGTTTCTAATGACCAATAAATGCATTCAACGAATATATTTTCATAATATGAAGATCTAAAATGTCACTGAAATTTTCTGTCATTCTGTTAATTCATCATCACTGTTTTGAATAAACCTTTTAATAAGAAAGTGAGATGCTTTTGTCCTTTTATTAGGTATATGCAAGCAATCTTGACATGGGTACTAGGATTTGTTTAATGGTTTTTTTTATTTTCTTAGGGTTAGTGGGGAACGTGTAAGTGAAAGTCTTTGCCTGATTGATTTCCAGTATAGACAGTATGCAGAGCTAGCAAGTGACACTTCCAAATGTCTTTTTAAGAACCCTCTCTGAGGTATGTTTATTGATGTAGCTATATATTTGATATCTTAATCTTCTCCCATAATAACTCTCTTCAGATGTACTGAAGATAAAATGGATTTGCAGAAGCCTAGACAACTTGCCTTTGGGTCCAGGATGACTAAAAAAGGGGATAATAAGAATCAGGTGCCAGGTAGCAGCAGAAAGGGTTGCCAGGTATCAAATATTAAATTGAATAGCCCGATACTTTAGCATTTTGTCTGGTAAAGTGAAAATATGAAGTCAAATAATAGGTCTTTTTTGGTCATAATCATTTTTTCATGATTGGAAAGAGATTTTAGAACTATGGTAACACTGCTATGCAGTGGCCTTTATTATGAAGTCTGGGAGCATGAGACCAGATGGTCAGATGACGGCATTCACAAGTGAGTTTACATTTGTGACATCATTTTGGTATTGGGCATTAATTCTTGTCTTGTACAGGACCTTCAAGGGGAACCTAAAGAGCATGGAATTGCAACAGATTGAATTTTTGTTTTCTTTAGCATCCCACACAACTATTTATTCTGCAGTTTAAAAGTAAAAATTATTATGAAAGCTTGCCAGGCATGGTGGCTCACACCTCTGATCCTAGCATTTTGGGAGGCTGAGGCTAGAGGAGCACTTGAGGACAGGAGTTCAAGACTAGCCTGGGTAAAAAGCAAGACCCCATCTCTGTTTTTTGTTTTGTTTTATTTTTTGAGACAGAATCTTTCTCTGTTGCCCCAGGCTAGAGTGCCTGTGGCATCATAAGCTTAGAGCAATCTCCTCTAGATTGAGGCTAGGCTCAAACAATACCACACCCTCCATCCCCACACACCCCCACCCCCCAGTAGAGTGCCTTGTTATCATAGCTCACAGCAACCTCAAATTCTTGGACACAAGTGATCCTATTACCTCAGCCTCCCAAGTAGCTGGGACTACAGTGGGACTACTGGTGCCCATCACAATGCCTGGCTAGTTTTTCTATTTTTAGCAACGATAGGATCTTGGTTTTGCTTTTGCTAAGGCTAGTCTCGATCTTCTTGCCTCACTCTCCCAAGTAGTTGGGGCTACAGGCATGCACCACCACACCAGCTAGGTTTTTTCTATTTTTAGCAGAGATGGGGTTTTACTCTTGCTCAGGCTGGTCTGAAACTCCTGAGCTCAAGCAAGCCACCCGCCTTGGTCTCCCAGAGTGCTGGAATTACAGGCATGAGCCACAAGACCCCATCTCTACAAAAATTTTTTAAAAAATTAATTGGGCCTGGGTATACACCTGTGGTCCCAGCCACTGGGGAGGCTGAGGCAGGAGGATTGCTTGAACCCAGCAGTTTGAGGTTGCAGTGAGCTATGATCACAGCACTCTACCATGGGCAACAGACTGAGACCTGTCTTTAAAAAAAAAATTATAAAATCTGCACAAATATTCTTATCTGTCAACATATGCTAATATATTTTTGATTTATTTTTAAAACTTTTTATTGAACTACAATATACATAAAGGTGTGCTTAAGTGTACC